ACACATACAGCGATCTCTATTTTTCAGACAACCCCCATTTTGAATGCTCTAAAGTCACTTGCGGCTAGTGACTATCATATTAACAGCAAAGTCCTAGATAAATGGGGAGATCAGAAGCGAGACACACGACATGTCTAAAGGAGACAGCTAGAGGAGAATAATGAAGAAAAAGAGCAAACGTGATTAAAGACAGAGGAGAAGAAAGAGAAGGTTTCAGCAAATGAAAGATAACTGTGTTTTTCTTTCCCATGATAAAATGTGTGTTTTATCATTCCCCTGTCAAACAGAATCCTGATTCATGACCTACAAGAAGAGATCGAGAAACAGTTTGATGTTAAAGAAGATATGCCCAGTAGGCACAGCTATGCAAAATACAATAACTGGGACAAGGTACAGTATTAAATGCCTATTTTTTTTTAAAGTGACCCTCAGCATTTGTTTTCATTTAGTTTTCTCCTATTCTAATTCTCAAAATTGGCTTTGCTCTTAAGATTGTGGCTTGGACTGAAAAAATGGTGAACAAGCATCCTGAAATGGTTTCTCGTATAAAAATTGGATCTACTGTTGAAGATAATCCACTATACATTCTCAAGGTAAAAATAACTCAAGAACCACTGATTCTTATCACTGTTTGAAAACATAAACTTAAAAGTTAATTTGTGACACAACTGAGCTAATTTTGAAACAAAAAAAGAAGTCTTATCTTTTGAAGAGCATCTAAACTCTAGACATCCATTCAAGAATAGAAGTGACAGGTGGTTTTTGCTGGAAACAAGAAAGTGTCTAATAAGCATTGGTCAGCGATCACACAGTGGACAAACACAGACAAATGTCTCATCCCTCAGCTTTATTACAAAAGTTTGTGATGTCCCTAGTGTATAAAATTGTTTTTCACCCATTAAAATTCAGTGAAACTGATAAATGAATGTCATGAGGAGAAATTTAAGCATCATAGGCTCATAGGACCCCAGAACAGTACATAAGGCTTTTCAACACCACAGTGATGGGGGATTCCCTTTTATAGCAGAGCTGATGATGGCCCTTCAGCTGCTACTGGACTTTTGTACATCCCTTAACAACTGGGAAGCCCATCCTTACCCTGAACCACATCCATTCGCTGTCTCCAACCACCTAAAACAAATCTAAATTCTCTTCAAAATCAGTCTTTCAAATATCTGGTACTATTCCTCCTCCCCACTCCAAACATAACACAGAATCTTCTCTACTCCAGGCTAAACATTCCCAGTTTTTGAAACCAGAAAAACAGAAGGAAATGACAGAAACAGAG